CTCTTTTGACATTTGTTATTTGGTGTTTTAACACCACCATAATTATGCTCATATTTGGATATCGTCGCGTGTCTTCCAGATATCAAACATTGATTTAAAGTTTAAGGTGAGCGTCAAGTGATGGTCAATACAATTCTTATCTTAATTTGACGTAGGTATAATGTATCTTAATGAGACATTATCTTCAGCCGTACCTTGAGGATTAATATTTTGTTTACAAGGATTTTGTAATAATCTAATGTGTATTAATATATTGGATGGTAGAATGGGCCCGTATGAATAAAAATAAGCAAATGCTTATACTTGCAAAATTTAAAGTAAATACTCGTAAGTGTTCCTTCGTACTGGGCGATTTAGCAGCGCTGCTAAGCAGAAGGACAGGACGTAGTGCAGCGCTGCTAAACAGACCAGTATGAAGGGGCAGTTACGAGTATTTACTTTGAATTTTGCAAGTATAAGCATTTGCTTATTTTTATTCATACGGGCCATTGTGTTCGTGAGTTTTTGTACATAAATTGTCATACACGAAATAATTATTTGACTTATTTAAGGCATATAGAATTCCACTTTCCGTTTAGCTAACCCCATCCGTCGTATCTCATCGGAGTGGGACTTGGGAGTCTGCGAATCGTATGCGTATCGTGCTTTTACTCTGGTAACTGCTGTAATTAATTCTGCTGCTTTAAGTCACCCTACATACCATTGGGATCTAGTTAAAGACAGCGACATGATTTTTTTACAATTTGTCGTAAAATTGTACAGAGAAAACTTTAACCTGCGATGAGTTTTGTGAAACATTGAAACAGCCTTTGAAAGTTTGAACATACTGTTGTGTGTACACCAACCTGGATTCGCCCCTGTAAAGTAATGGGTTCAAAATTTCGAAATTTAAATTGAATATAATTTTTTTATATTTTCGAATTTTACTTTACTCACTTAAATCTGATGTGTTGCTTTTGGTATTTTATACGCATATTTGTCGAAAAGTGAAACAAATTTTATTTTTTAATCTATAGATCGCCCTGAAATCTACTAAAATCCATTTTGCCTAATTATCCAACATTTGAAACAATTATGAAGATATCAAAATTATTTTTATCAATTTTTAGCTTCCTAGCTCGAGATAGGTGACTATTAATTGCAACCACCCTTTTTTGGGACTTGTTAAGATTTTGTCAAGTTTTAGATAATTTCAAGCAACTTTTATTATTATTTTTTAATATATCTTAGTGCATAGACCAACAAAACATATGTATAGCACAAGTCAAATTTGTATAGCATAAGTCAGATTACTAATTAAAGAATAAAATTTTTCCCGTGTATGTATGATCATACGTACGTACGTTGCCAATTTTCCGAGATAATGGCCCGACGGATTTTGTTAAAATTATTAGTCATATGAAAACGATAAACGGGCCGGTTTTTTGAAAATTTTGGAGGACCGCAACGGCATCGAATTTTGTTTCAAATACATATCAACCTTAAATTTGTAGTAAGTTACGAAAGACCTTATTTTTCTGTGTACAACTTAAAAAAATGGTGCCAGGTCACTACAAAAAAACTCAGAAAAAATGTCAAATTTAGAAGACTAAAATATTTTTTGTCGGCAAAACGGTTAGGTACTATGATTTCTTTAAAATTTTGCGAAATGCCTTTAGTCATAACGGATGTGAATGTAGATTGTAAAATAAGATTTGATTTTCTGATTTATTTGGAAAGTTTATGGTCTCTCTTTCTTCTATTTTTAGCGCATTTTTGGTAACAAAAAGGAGCTTATCATTTCACTTTGTCCGGCTGGCTGGCTGGCTGGCTGGGCGGATTGAAAAACTTTTGATCTAGACATCGTAGAGAGGTCCGGTTTTTTGCATTATCTCCGTCTTGTCGAGTTATTGGCGCAATGGACATTCATTAAGCCCGTAGTGGTTGCGTTTAATTAGAATTTGCGAAATAACTAACGCCGCTTGAAAACTTGTCCGTGCGTATATCGATTTTAAGCCGATCCGATTGACGTAGAGGAATGGCTTTTTTATAAAATATTCTTTTGGCATTGCCTAACTACGGTCACTAATATGACTTATCTAGGATAACTACTTCAAGGTGAAAACTAATCAAAATCATAACACGGTGATGAGTTTTACAGTTTGTGGTATAATTTCGGTTAAAAATATCGTATCCAGGTCTGAGCGGTTTTTAGCGTAACACAACGAAGTTGAGGTAACGCTTATGTGCTCGTGTTTCCGTCTGTCCGTCCGCCCGTCCGTCCGTCCGTCCGTCAGTCCGTTCCATCGAGATCTCGGCCCCTGGGACACCTAGAGACTTCGGGTTTTCGCTAATTGATAGCTGCTATGGTCTATATTTGCCCATTTCAGACAGTTTTATTGCACTCTCTATTTTGCGCAGACTGCGCATTGCCAACTTTCTTATTTATGAAATATTCTATAAGATATTTCTTTGAAATTTTAACCACAGATGCTTCTAGTAAAGGCAAACATTTCACACATAGTAAAAATTATGTAGACATGCGCAGTGACTGCGCAATGCGAACTTTCCTATTTATTGAGATTTTTCTTTGAAATTTTAACCTCAGATGCTTCTAGTAAGGGCAAACATTGCGCACATACTAAAAATTATGTGTGCGCATGCGCAGTCCCTGCGCAATGCCAACTTTGCTATTTATGGAGATATTTCTTTGAAATTGGAACCACAGATGCTTCTAGTAAAGGCAAACATTTCGCAAATAGTAAAAATTATGTGTAGACATACGCAGTGACTGCGCAATGCCAACTTTCTTATTTATGGAGATATTTCTTTGAAATTTTAACCACAGATGCTTCTAGTAAAGGCAAACATTTTACACATAGTAAAAATTATGTAGACATGCGCAGTGCCTGCGCAATGCGAACTTTCCTATTTACTGAGATTTTTCTTTAAAATTTTAACCACAGATGCTTCTAGTAAAGGCAAACATTGCGCACATACTACAAATTATGTGTGCGCATGCGCAGTCCCTGCGCAATGCCAACTTTCCTATTTATGGAGATATTTCTTTGAAATTGGAACCACAGATGCTTCTAGTAAAGGTAAACATTTCGCAAATAGTAAAAATTATGTGTAGGCATGCGCAGTGACTGCACAATGCCAACTTTCTTATTTATGGAGATATTTCTTTGAAATTTGAACCACTGATGCTCCTAGTAAAGGCAACAACTTGTTGATTGCAGCGTTATCGGAGATCGGGGATTTCATTGTGCAACTGAAGACGTCTTGATTATGGGAGACTTTAATTTCCCATTAACTGTCGGAAATCGGGTAGAGAAATTTCTTCAAGAGAAATTCAATATAGTGATCATCTCTCCCCGAACAGTGACAACGAATGGCGGAACAATAATTGACGGAGCTTTTGGCAAAATGGTCAACTACACTGTTGATTGTTCGGTTTACGAGTCGTACTGTTCATACCATCGTCCAATTATTATTAGAGTTCGTGAAAATTAATAAAGAAATATATGTTTGCATAAACCTTATTTTATAATTAAAATTTTCTGATAAAATACTGATTGCTAATGCAATACTGATCCGTCACGCCAAAAATGCGCTGAAGTCTCATCGATGCACATACGAGGACTTTTGTAATTTTTTTTTGTATTTTGCGACCGTTATCGAGAAAAAAATAAAAATCAATTTTCCTCTAGCTGATTGAAAGTATAACTTTTATAATGATCCAGTAGGCCCTGACTTTATTATTGGATATCTTTTTTTATTTTGATTAGTTTTGACAGTTGGCATGGAAAATTGTACCTTAGGCCTGCATATGTTCATATATAAATTAAAGGTTTAAATTGTAAGGTATACGGTAGAACTATAACACCCTGTAGATTAGTAACGCAGCGTTTACAGACCTATGTTTATATGAACTTTTAGTCATAAAATACGCCAAAGATTAGCCCCTTTTGTAATTACATCATATTCAGGAACACCCTGTATACCAAATTTGTGCATAATTGTATTTTCTACAATTTCTAGTAACAATATTTTTTTCTTTTTCTTTTTTCTTTAAGAAGATATGATTGAAAAACTGAAAAACCAAACAAATTTCGGGGGTTTTAGGGGTGTTACTACTTCTCTTTTGCAGGACATGACCCATTTCAGTCTATATTTCCTGGGCCACCACAAGTACGTTATAGTTTTACATAATGTGTCTGTCTGTCTTTCTGTGCACTTTAAAATTTGGCTATATCTTAGAAATTATTCAATGTACTGATTTAAGGCCTACATGGTTTGGTTGAAAACCTAATAGAGCGTTACAGATATCATAATATTTTTAGCACATTTTCCAACGAAGCCACTTTCTATGTCCGTCCGTCGGTCCCTAACTACTAGCAGAAATACAGCCATTTGTGCTTCGTCACGATAGTTTTTAGAACGGGCAACACTGTAGCGTTTCGACTCTTATCTACTTGAACACTCGTTCTTATCTTCACGCGCCTTATTTTTATATATACTAATTTATTCAATTTCGAGCATAAGGAGCAGGAGCACCCTAATGTCATACGGAATATGACAAGATTCTGTTATAACTAGCCACCATACTGTAAAATAGAGAGGAGTACAAACTGATGGTTAAATTATAAGTTAAAGTTTAAAGCAATATCGTGGTCGCTGCAATCCAAGAAATGTTTGTACAACTTGTGTCAGCCTATTACACCTCCACTAATGGGGTGTTATCGATCCCTTGCATTGTATAATTTTCAAGTGGTGTTCGGGGTTAAATGTAGGAGCACTTGATGGCGATGTTGCCCCTAAGTGAACTTCGCCTTTTGGATGAATATCTAAACAAAGACATTATTATTATAATAATTATCATTATTAAATAGAGAGACAAAAACGTACTATAGTAGAAGAATAAATTTCCCACAAAAAGTTCTGAGACAATCTAATGAAATGAACTACCACTTTGAAATTCGTTGCAGTGCTGACTTAATATTTTGTTGTTGTTACAGATACGAACGTCTTCTTAGGAGAGCGAAAGCAGAAGATCTTAGTGAAGTCTCTGGCATAGGCTGTTTATATCAAAGTGGTGTCGATAGGTTGGGTCGTCCAGTTGTTGTCTTCGTTGGTAAATGGTTTCCGTTTAACAAACTTAATCTGGATAAGGCAAGTCATATTACTTTAACTTGTATTATTACCAATGTATACTGCAGTGTCATTGAGATTGACCTGAATTCATTACGCATGTCAACAGACGCATTTCAATCATCTCGTACCTATGCGCTATTGTCGTAAGTTTTACCACTGCACCTGGACCGCTTCGCTGCAACCGCTTCATGGCAGGTCTGATTAGCATGGACTGTACCTTTGACTTTAACGATTTACAGTCACATTTTAAGAAATTCAACCGTGAAGCGTCATCGTGAATCGGTCGAGACGCAGTTCAATTAAAACGGTTTTAGAAAATAAGTAACAGGATTATGACTATTCTCAGTGGTTAAGTAATATTCCAACAAAAACACGTGTAAGTAACATAGTGGTAATCACCTAATCACGATAGGTCACAACTGTAAAGTTTGACAAAAACATGTTTTCCATGCCATTGGAACCTAAAACCACTAGGCACTAATTATGATGAACATAGGTAGTAATGAGAATGTTTAACAAAAAAAATCAGATCTGCTTACTTTGTGCCCAGTGGTACAAAACATCGATCCTGTATTTGACACACTGCTAGCACAATCCAGTCCAAAAGTCAAAAACTATAATTTGACAGCAAATATTGTCAAGAAAATGCATTGGATACCTTGATGACCAAGAAGATTTGCATTTTATATGGGTTGTGATATATTTTGAGTTCCATTTTAACATAATCTAATGTTAATGATAGGTACAACTTTAAGGTCAACTTTTAACAAGTAGGTGGAAAGCTGTTGACTCATCTTAAATGCCGTAACGCATAATAAAGTTGTGTGCGTTCCATATTATTAGGGTTTTTTGGGAAACCGTGATGTCAATGTATCACTTTTAAAGGACTCATTGTTATGAATATTTCTTTGTCTTGAGAATATTTGTAATTATATATTGAAATAGCAATTAAAATACTATAATTATTATGTATTCCACGAATTAAATAATTGTTGCACAATTAAACAAATATAAGTGTGCGTTACTCGCTTCAACTTCGTGTGCATTTAAAGATGTTTTCTTTATACGATTTACTAAACCGACGTACAGTTCAATTCACGAAAGGTGAGCCCTGCCCCTGCGTCACTAGTTTGTGATTACATGATCCTATGATGATAAAGTATTTTCTCTTAATATACTTTCCTTTACAAAAAGTTGCACGTGCAAAGACCTTTGAAAAGAACTGTTTGCTTTAAAACGCATGGATCGCAGTACGATGATGAGAAAATAAAAACTCACATTAAGAAACGCCACCAATGGATGGCGATTATAGCATAAATAAACCACCTTCTAAACATGTTTACCAATGCCTTAAGTAAAAAACACTTTAAGCGCAAAATTTAAACTGTATGCAGTTATTTTGGATCACCCGGTACATGTCGTATTTGTAATTAGAAAACATATTTCAATGACACGGGAAACACATAAAAAAATTACAAAATTGGATTTTAATTATAGGGAAATTGCAAGTCATTATCCTGTATAGAAAAGTTATTATAAATCTAGTACCTAGATACACATACTAGGATGTTACGTTGAAAATGAGCAATTGAGAATTGAGATTGTTAATTGAACCGAAATATTAATTTTAAATCTTTTTTTTCTTGCCATAAGCTGAACTAAAAATTGAATTTTAAGGTGCTCGAAAGTTCTTTTGCTTACATTGTTAGTGATGTATAATGCCCCATAGTACTTAAACACTGAAGCACTAGCAAATTAATGTTTCACTGAACTTTAGACTAACACAAAATTCACCAGTGGCCACTAAGAAATTTATCATTTTCATTAATGCGTTGTTAGTATTTGAAAAAATAATGTTTCAGTCACCCTTACGCTGGTGACAAATTCTTCTGTTTGAAAAGCAATTTACTTTGTTAGAGCGTTTAAAATTGTATCTTTATTTTTTAGTGGATAAGGTTTCAGGCAAGGATACTATGCAATTGTGCACCCTTGGGGCCTGTTTTATAAAGTAACTTTGCAACTTTTCTCTCCTCACTTTTCTTTTGTATAATCTTGAAGTGCAAATATGTTTCGTAAAATATTCTAGTCAACATCGCATTTCGTTTCATATTCACCTTTATTTTACACGTAATCTTTATGGACCCAAATAGTATTTATCTGAAAAGTGCAGGACCTATTTTGATCGCAGTCAAGTGTTTACAACTATGCCAAGCTGGCCGAGTTTTCGTATAATTTTTTCGTAAATGTTCAAAATTTGTTGGCTAAAATAGTGTGCCTGTGCAGTAATGTTTTCATTATGCAAGATTGTTATACGATAATTTGAATATGATACGAAGAATCGCATACGATTTTCAGTAGGGGAATTTTTTGTCACGCAGCTCGCATTCGTGAACGCGACTTTTAATCCGGCTCATATTCAGTAGCAATGATCCTTGAACTTGTAAAAATCGTTTGACGCAGGTTTGACATTGCTGTCTATTTTCGTTCTCGAGTTAGACAAGCCATCACATAAGGAGGACTTTTTTCTTTGGAAAAATCCCCCAATGTTTGAAACACATGATTTTGTAACCGGATCTTGTTAGTTAGTTGCTGGTGTACCAACTGTGTGTAGATAATCCCATAAAATGATAGTTTTTGATAACGTGATAGTAAAACTCGTATGAATTGCCATGAAGATATTTACTAACACATATTTATTTGAATTTTGAATATACGGAAATACTGCTATGCACAACCATTTAGATTTTTTTGCTTACGTTGACCATGAGTTACGAATCTTTATTCGAAATTAAGCTTCATTAGGATAATATTGTTGGGGTTTAGCAATTTAAATTTGATAATTTAATTAGGATAATACGTCGCTGTCAGGGTGTTTATACTTAACTGGCTTTTTGTTAATGTATAGTTTAATTCCTTCGCGGAAACTTTATTATCTACTTGTCCACTGTAACACGAACATGTAGGTAGATGCTTTTATTCTGTATAGACGATTGAAAATGATAAAGAAGCTTTAGAAATTGATTGTTTAGTGACCTTTGAAAAATGCTATACTTACAATCCTCCACAACCTACGATTTAAAAAATCAATATCAACTTAATGCGCATTTAATTTAATTTTAAGTATAAGTGACGTCCGTGCAGATATGTAATATTTTTCACAACTTTTATCGGTTAGAAATTGTTTACAAAAATTTGTTTTCATGAATGCAATGTTTTAGTGGCAACCACCTGTGTAGGTATCTATACAAAGGGGAACGTAAAAGTAAAACGATGACGGTTGATTACGTTTGCTGTATCACACTGACAATAATAAACAAATAATGAGACATAATCAGTTTTTCAAAACAAACAGCATCACTATTGAGGTTCGTAGTCGTAGTATGATCTATCGATATCTTCTGGTTTTCTGATCCGCAAAATGAAGCTAAAGGACTGGAAAATAACGGTATAGTTAGGATGTATGTACCTATCAATCAAAAATGCCTTTCTAATAACTAGTTTTGCAAAAAAAATATAGAAACCTTGAACATGCTGAAGTATTAGTATTTATTTTGATCGCTATTGGAATAATTCAAGATACACTCACTTCTGCGTTCTGCCACATAAGTGAGTCGGTCCCAATTAAAAACAAAATAGTTACACGCTGCAGTATACAATTACGTTCATTACCTATAATAATGTTAACTTTATTTGTAGGCTTTGTTGTATTTGATATTGTTACTGGATCCCATTGTTAAAGGCGATTATGTGATTACATATTTCCACACATTAACTTCAAATAGTAATTATCCTTCATTCTCATGGCTTAAAGAAGTATATAACGTTTTGCCTTATAAATACAAGAAGAATCTAAAAGCCTTTTATATCATTCATCCGACATTTTGGACAAAGGTACGACGGTAGCAATGTATAAGTGGTTACTGACTCTTATTTATTAGATGATGACCTGGTGGTTCACGACTTTTATGGCTCCCGCAATTAAGCAAAAAGTCCATAGTTTGCCAGGTGTAGAATATTTATATGCCGTTATGTCTCCAGAGCAACTCGAAATTCCCGCTTATATTACAGAATACGACATGTCGGTAAGTAAGCCTACAATTTGGTGGTAAAATGTAGTAGCTAATATATGTTTACTTTCAAGACAAATGGTTTGCGGTACTTCCAACCGGGAGCACAAACGTAAAAGTAATATTGTGATCGTTACTGACCAATGTGCCCAAGATTTCAGTGATAAATTGCAATATTAGACTTGTGCTATGCTGTGCTGTGCCAACTTGTTAAACTATAGTTACGATGCTATGGCTAGGGTAGAAATTTCACAATGGAGTTGAAATTACATTTTTATTTAACCTTTTTTGAGGTCACATTCCGTACTGAATTTAATCACATTTTAAGATTTTGTAATGTCTAATTTATTTATTATCACTGTGTGTGTTAAGTAAGTCCATCACAAATGTGTATTTGTTTGATTTGTAATTGTACTAGATTAAACGAACTTACCTGGTGAAGTTCTAATCTTAATTGTATGAGACATCACTGCTCTCAAGTTTTAATGTAGTACTTGTTCTACGAGACCGAAACGCACGCATTCAAAGCAAAAGCTAAAAATAGCCCCCCCCCCGCCTCGTTAAAGGTTAACTGTTATTCATTGTTGAAAGCTGCAAACTAAATTAAGTGGGTAAAAACAAAAGGGGGTGGGTGGGATTGAACTTGAGAGCAGTGATGTCTCATACAATTAAGATTAGAACTTCACCAGGTAAGTTCGTTTAATCTAGTAATTGTATTTCGACATCACTGCTCTCAAGTTTTAATGTAGATGTTCAAAGCAATGTTTAGTTTGCTACAAATTTAATATTTATCAGAAATACACCTAAAAAACAATATGAAAGATATAACTACCATAAATCGAAATCATAAATTTATAATTGAACTTGCAAAAACGTTGGATTCACACAAAGGCAAGTTATAAAAATTAGCAAAAGTTTCTGAGCTTTTGCTCCAACCAGCCGACTTCCTAATAGAATCTATATTTACTCCAGATCTAAAAGCAGCCGACGTACTAGCGTGTCTTATACTATGCGATTTAAACAGTGAGACATCGACACCACTATCTGATAAAACAATCTTGATCCAGCGACTAAGGGTTTGCGTACTGTGAATCGCACAATGCGGTTTATTAAATGAAATGAATAAAGAATCAGCTGAATTCCGCAAACTCCTAGTCCTAGAAATATAAACTTTGAGCGTATACGCTGCGCACAACTTTTTGTCAGAGAAAAATGGCAAAATCAAATTAGGCTGTACTCTATTTAAACCAGAAGTTTTGATCTCATCAGGGATCCGAATTTCAATCTGCTTATCCAAAAATACAATGTTAGAAAGTTTAATTTTAGAAAGAGTCTGAATCCTATGGCCAGTAGTTAAAGCCAATAAAGTAACTAGTTTTAAAGAAAGATCCTTCAAAGGTAAGTCCTCTGAAGGCAAAAGAGTCTGTAAATGCTGTAAAATCACATTCGGATCCCAGATGGAGTCATACTTTCTCCTAGGCGGTCTACTTCTAAAAATTCCTTTAAACAATCTCTTAACTTCTAGATTGTTTACCAAATCATTGCCCCTAACAAAACTAATTGCCGATCTTATGACATTTAGGTAGCTAAAAGATACACCTTTATTAAATTCAACGGTAAGAAACTTAATTATATCTGAGTGAGAACTATTGTAAAAATCACAACCATGAGTCCCACAAAAATACCACCATCTAGAAAGAGCCGAAGAGTACTGCTTTAAAGTAGCTGATGATATTGAGTTGGTGAAAAGTTCAAAAGATTCAGGAGGAATTCCTCTCAAACGATAGGCTTCCCTGATAACTTGCACGAAACCAGGGAAAGTGATTTTGCTAGGGGATGAACGCGATTTCTGTAAGGTAAAATTAAATTACTATCCTCATCGTCAATATCACTACTTTGAAAAATAATAGGCTTCGATATGCATAGTTCCTTAAAGAGAGGCCACCAAACCTGAGTAGGCCAAAAGGGGACCACTACAATACCTACGGCCCCATCAAGGCTTATCTTTTGGAGCACTTTCAAAATCATCGAAAAAGGAGGAAACGCGTAAAAATATAAATTTGACCAGTTTAAGGTAAAAGCATCTACTGCTACCGATAGAGGATCTTTTCTCCAGGAAACAAATCTATTACACTTTGTATTAAATCTGGAGGCAAAAAGATCAATTTCTGGTACACCAAAAACGGAAATTATTTCTTGGAAAACCTGATCTGACAATTCAAATTCTGTTTCTACATCTAACTTCCTCGATTCACGATCGGCTATAACATTATCTGCAGAAGGAATGTAAGATGCAAACAAAAAAATTTTCCGGTTCTCACACCAGTCCCAAATATCGCGCGCCAAAGTATTAAGAGTAAAATACTTGGTTCCCCCAAACTTATTAATGTAAGCAATAGCAGTCTTATTGTCTATTCTCAATAAAATTTCACAATTTGAATAGTCAAAAGCAAAACAAATCAGTCCATAAAACGCCGCTAAAAGTTCTAAGCTGTTTATATGGAGAGTTTGTTCAAAAACGGTCCAAACACCTCTGGCCGTCTTCCCTTGACAACAAACACCCCAGCCTGTCTTTGAGGCATCAGAAAAAATTTCCAGGGCATATCGATAAGTCCTAATTGGAGTTGAGATCATCAAGTTTGTTTTCCACCAAATTAAGTCTCTAGCTAGGGAAACTGGAAATGTAAACATGTCATCAAAACTCTTATTGTTTACTATTAACTGAATGAACTTAAACCTTTCAAATGACTTGAAGTGTACCCAACCAAAACGTACTGCCGGACAACTCGAAACTAACTTCCCTACAAGCCTTGCAAAATTACGGAGAGAGTACTCGTAACCGTAATCAAAACTATTCAATAAAGCTAATAAGCTGGCAATTTTCTTTTCCGGCAATCCGATAGTCATATTAACAGAATCAAAACAAAAACCCAAGAAAGTGCAAACCTTGGACGGTACCAATTGGCTTTTGACATCATTTACAATAAACCCAAGCTCACATAACAAAGACCGAGTTGATGATACGTTTAAAGAACAATTTTCATATGAATCCCCCAATAACAAGAAATCATCTAAATAAGTAACAGAGAGTAGCCCTTTACTCCTGAGACGCCCAAAAATAGGCTTTAAAATTTTAGTAAAGATAAGAGGGGCAGTGCACAAACCAAAAGGTAAACATGTAAATTCATATAATTGTCCCTTAAACAAGAATCTTAAAAATTTTCTTGAATCCTTATGTATCGGAATATGATAATAAGCATCCTTAATGTCTAATGTGGCCATAAACATATTCCGCCTTAAAAGACAAGAGACCGTCCTCCAGTCCTCCATTTTGAAATGAGAAGTATTGATGTACTTATTTAGATTTTTTAAGTTTAAAATCAATCTGGAGGTCCCATCAGATTTAGGCACAAGAAAAATACCAGATAAAAATTGGTTATGCACAAAATCACACTTAACAATAGCCCCTAAATCTAACAGATTAGAAATGTGAAAAGCAATCTCTTGTTTTTCTTTACAAGACCAATTAGGTTCAGTAGAAACACAATTGTAATTAATGTTATTACAAAAAGGTATCACATAACCTCTAATAACTGATAACACCATGGGGTCATCGGTTACACGTCTCCAAACAGGAAAAAAGTGGGCCAACCTGCCCCCTGTTTTACTTACTATTGTTTTCGAGGTTGGAGCCATGGCTTCCTTTTGTTGGAGCTCTGATTGGGAGTGAACTTTTTCTGCCCGCCTGTGTTTGGAGTTCTCACTGCTCCCTGTGCTCGATTCCACCGATTGGACACAAGCGGGTTGCGAAAGTTTTTTGAGCCATGTACGACAGCTTTCGGTTTGGTCAAACTTAAATCCTTCGACACTTTCTCCAGGGATTTGGAAGCTTTAACTTTTTCATCTAAGTCGGCTCCAAATAAGAAATCGTCTAAAGCAATTCCATCCAACGTAGACCGTAGAGACTCACTTATATTCGATCTTATTAAAGATCTTCGCACCTGACTTTGATTAAAATGGATGTCAGACATAATTTTTAATGAATCGTTCAAAGATTCAATTATGCTCTTGTCAAAAGATTTGACTCCAAGAAGTGTGTTTAGACACACCGAAGTAGCTGCAAGTGCCACTCCTAAACGAGCTTGTAGCTTAGCTAAATTTGCGTCCCTCTGCACGAATTTATCAGGTATCGACATGGACACCAAGGGATTTAGCTTGGGGCTATTAACGGCAATACAATTCTCAGGAACCTGGTACTTCTGTAAAAGTTTGGACATGTCTTCGGATTTTAACCCATTTCTTAGAATGAAAGTCAAATTACTAGCAATCCGGTCGTGTATTGGTGGTCCAACCGAAGTCGCTGGAGTAGAAACGTTCCCCAACAACGACAACAAGTCATCCTGCTCCGATGGAGATAAAACGACAGGAGCCGACGCACAGTCCAAGTTTTCTTTCTCTGCATCCAACACAATGGACGCAGAATCGGCGCCAACATCCCAAGCCTGTCCTGAAGCAGGACTAACCTCCAGGCACGAAAAACCGCCACCTCCTTGTGAGGGGGAAGGTGTAGTCAAAAGTCGCACGGAAAGGTCTGTAGGGGTCAGCGACCTCGACCTTGAGCCTAGCACAAAGGAAACCGTTAACGACTGTGACTAACACACATTTCTAGAAAACTTTCTAGCTTCGTAACAGAGCACTATCTTATTACGGAAAATGTAAACAAGTTACAAGATAAATAATCGCTAGAAACTTTCTAGCATCGCTTAAGAGCACTATCTTAAAGCGAAAAAAGAACAAACCGCTGTTGCTAAAAATAAGTGATTAATAAAATTAAATTACTTACTGCTACAGGGCGAACAAACATCCCTCTTAAGCTTCTTCTTTAACCTAAAAAGCTCCTTCTCCAGCCTTAAAAGCTTCTTAGCACGGCTTCGCTTTCCCATAATACGTATGAAAACGGTCGCACGCAAAACAAGAATAACAGTTAACCTTTAACGAGGCGGGGGGGGGGCTATTTTTAGCTTTTGCTTTGAATGCGTGCGTTT